TATTTCTAACGTAAAGTTAGGTTAGGTTTTCTTTTTTTTTTTTGTGGTAATAAATGATCAAAAAAATTAAGCATACAACAAAAACCAATAAAGGATTATTTATTTAAACATTTGTAGCACATTCCAAAATATGGTAGAATCAACTGACTTTTTAAGGGTTACTGAATTTTTTTAAGTGTATATAGATACATATTATAGAAGGGAAGTTTCTATAACTCACACAATCATCAGTACATATTTAGAGAGGTTTTCTTTCAATAGGGCATAGGTAGAAACTTCCTCCCTAAACTTAATCATTCCCTACCCCTGGACTTTTTGCAAATGTGAAGGTTTTATTTCTAGGTGATAGCTTTTAGTATACAAAGCCAGGTACCCTTAAAACTGTACCATGTTAGACATACTTGTATAAACAAAATCTTGGGGAATACAACCAGACCATGTTTATAAACTATGATGCCTTTGGCATTTGAATGCCCCTCCCCATGTCAGTCACCAAATAAAATCCTCCTTTTCCCAGAAAAAATTCTTAAATAAAACCTCTGTATTTAGTTTTTAAAAATTCTGACAATATTAAACAAAACAAGACACTTTATACCTGTACTTTCATGATGGAAACTTTTCATGAAAGTACAGGTATAAAGGTATTTGGATTAGGGTTTACCCTATATTGGAAACTTTTGAATATAGGGTAAACCCTAATCCAAATAATGAAACAAAATGTATTCTCACTTCAAGCTCTTATAATGAAAAACCTTAATTTCTTCTATAGTAAACCGATTAATTTCTAGCTTTAAATAATGGAATAAAAAATTGAGGAAGTCAGATGAAAATACAGTTTTGTGAAAAAACTCCTGGAAAAATGTAACTGTGTTTTGAAAAGAAAAAAGTCTTAAAAATTTCAATTTGTTATTCAAGTATCCAAGGTCCAAAGAAAATGTCTGAAAGTCAAGAACAATAGTAATGATTACACAAAAATAAGTCTTACACTGTATTAAGACAACTATTTTTTTCTCAAAATTTTCTAAATTCATTTAACAACTTTTTAAAATTTTTTATCCATTGATTACTTGAAAATATTTGTTTTACCAAATGGATAAATATATTCAAGATTTTTTGTAATTAATCAACAAAATGTGTTTGTAGTTATAAAGATACTTCATCTTTCTAGCATTTTACAGTACTAACTCCATCAACTTCTTTTACATTCTGAATAACTGGAAAATACAAACTAAACACAGTCGCAGTAAAACCAAGGAAATACCTCTTGACTGTTAGTTCCTAAGACAATATGGACAACAGAAATGTTTGCAAAAACTAACACAATAGTTGTGAAAATCAGTTTTCAAATTTTCAAACTGTATATACTTTTGATAACTTTGATAGACTGCAACTGCCTGTTAAATGAAAATGGGATGAAATTTTGGCTTCTATAATGAAGCCTACTTTCAGACCTGAACAAGGCCTCAGTGTAAAAGCTGAAATGTTGTCCCCTTTTCATTCAATAGGCAGTTGCAGTCTATTAAAGTTCTCAAATCAATTATGTCTACTCTGCCTAAAGTTCCTCTGAAACAATACATACTTCTAACTTGAATAAATTTAATCAAGGCAATGGAATAAAAATGAAGAATGAAAAAATGAACAACAATCATATCTAGGCTGTATGTAAAACGTTGCATGAAATTACAAAATACAATAAAGTTGAACACTTGTACAGATAACATATCTGTTATATTGTTTTGTATGCCATATTATAATTTCATAAAAAAAACATTATTTTTGCATTGTTCTGCTTAAAAATTATGCACACATTGCATTTAACTTTTTTAAACCACTGTTATAAAAAAATGGGATCTGAACAAAACTGAGAAAATTAGATTACATTAATAAATGAAAAGAAGTTTCAAGTGCAATGAAAATTAATGTTTAGATAATTTGTCTGTCCTGCAGAAATTCAACACTTTGAAAGCACACAGAAGTATCAACAGAAACTGTTTATTATGAATAAATTCCTGCTCGTAAAGGAATCCAACATGAGCCATGACCAGGATAAACATGTCCTACTGGTAAAAAATCTAAGCTGGCAACTTCAATGCTTTTCCTTTTATTACTGAAATAAATAGAGGAACACAATAATTGATGCTGAATTTCTTCGACATTAAACTAAAAAGTTATATACCATACAATATTACAAATATTTTTTGGCAAACAAATGCTAAAGCAATTTGCAGTTGTCAAACATATTTCTATGCATTTACATCTACACATTTTGTCAATTTAGAAAACAATAAAATTTAAAGTTATTTTGAATGGGTCATCAATGGTATCTTAATATCCATTAAATTTTCTTTTAAGTAATATACATGTGCCTAAACTATAAGCTTTTCTCCACTGCTTTTGTAAAACAAACAAACATCAATTTAATGGCGTTGAAATAAAAGGTTGATGTATTCAACTCTATTTAACTAACATCACACTTCTGATGTGTCTTGACTCCTAGTCCAAAACAAATGTTTCTACTTTAACAGCTTCAATATATAAGCATTTACCAAATTCATAACCTACAATGCTTAAACTATACATTAAAAATCACTCAGAAATTATCCTTTATTCTGCTGTTCCTCAGTCTTATCTAAGCAATCACACATAACTACACAATTTAAAAATTAAAGGAGCAATTACTTTTTGAATATTATATTAATAAAATAATTAACTGATGTGTCTTTAATGTTAAAAAATGCATTACATTTTTAATAAAAAACTTGTTCAAAGCAATATACTGAACCTTCTTAAAATTAAAAAACGTAACTCTATGCATTCACTTTTATCATTACAAAGAACTTGGATCAGCTCAAGTATTTTGAAATAAGAATTATACAAATTTCCAATTTTGTATCACAATTAAATAACCAAAACACTCAGCAAAACAACAAAACCAAAAATTATTACAGTTAGGAATAACAAGGATGGTAAGTGAATATTGACATGCTTCTTAATCCCTTTTCATATATAAAGTAAACACTTACCTCTTGTAATATATAAATAAAAGAAGTCACAGTATAGCACAGTCTGGACAACTCCGGCCACTATAGCAATAAGATCATAGAATCCTTCAAAATAGTATCTATAGACCCAATTAAGAATGTAAAGAGCACGGTAAGAGCCAAGACAGAATAAATAATGTGAAGTGATTGTTTCGGCTTCTCCTGTTTTCGACACCATGAACAACTGAGGCAGAATAGCAACAGATTCAAGGTAGATGGAAAATGTCCACAAGACCTATGTGAACAAGACTGATTATTATTAGTTACGGAAGATTTTCTCTGTTAACTTTTACTATTCATTCACTTAAGAATTCATAGAAACTACTTTTGAAAGAATAACAAATTTAAGTACAAAATACTGACACATACATAGAAATTATTATGTACTGTTACCTTAACTTTTACAATAGTTCTAAAGAATTTATGATAATAATTATCTTTAAATAAAATAACCGTAAAACAGCAAAGTATACATAATATAAATCAATGTGTTCTAAGTATATGCAATTGGATAAACTCATAACCTTACAAATACTACAATCTTTACGGAAAATAATTATTTAAAAATTCAGTCACATATTATACCTCAAGTGGAGTAAATTCATGATTAACCACAAGTCCCAAAATGATAACAGGGATAAGAAGGAACTCTATACGGAAAGTGTCATGGTTACGATCATACGTAGCTTTGAATTTCACATACATCAAGTATATGGTGGCATATGATGTAGCAATGAAGAAAATTTTCATGGTAGAGTTATATATAGAGATAAAGTTTGTAAATAGATCCAGGTACCGAGCAGTGTAGACAAGAGCAAACAAAATCTGGCTCCTTCCAGATATACCTGAAAGAAAAAAATATAATTTAAAATCATTATGGATATATCTGTCAACCAGGATTTCAAACATCAGTCTTCTTGGCTTCTGATGTCACTTATTTACTAACCAAGACTTCTTCAAATATTCATGCACTGATGTGATACCTCATAAATACTTTGTACAAGATAAAAAAAAGAAAAAAAAGAGAACCCAACACTGTTTTCCTTGTGAAATTTATAAATACATGTTTACAAATTTAAAGGCTTATTTGATTGCAATTTAGAAATTTGTAAACAATGGTTACAAAGAGAAATGTTACATTTCAATTCTTTTATAAAGAAAACAGAGATTGGAGATTAAAATTTGAAGTTATATTTCATTTGAGAAATATTTTTTGAACGACATGCTCTAATATGGAGCCAAACACAAAACTATGCAAGATGCTTTTCTAGGTATTCAAATTTTAATAGAAATCTAGAAATTACATTGTTATATCTTATTTTAAGGACTCTTACAGATTTTTACCATTTGATTTATCAAAATAATAAGCGTAGAGAATAGTTATTCTGCTAAACTTATGCACTGGATTGTTAACACTGAATTGCATAATTTCAAACATTACCATACAATAACTGTCCAAGCCCTTATACATCAAGGAAGCACTTTTCAAAGAATCAACTTTACCCACTAGTTTGATAAAATAATCAAATTTAGATATATTACTGCTTTTTTTTACCAATCATCATTATTACCAATATAAAGAGAAACAAATGATCTCAAGCAGAACAAGAAGGACCCTAACAGTCACATTTTTCTAATCAGAATGTTGATCATTTGTCGTAATCCTGTTTTCTACCTTAAGTCAATTTTTAATACACCCTTTAAGGTTTTTTTCCAAATTATTTAAAAAACTAACATATTAATCAATTTTATGTGAGAAACCTTATCAAGGGACTTCTGGAAGTTTACATGTACAATATGAGTGAGCATTTTATAAAAAAAACTCTGTGGAAAAACAAAGCAAAAATACTTTTCAATACTATGTCAAGAATTTGTAATCAAATTCTAAATTGCATGGTGCTTTGTCAAATCATTTTTGACAATGGATTCTAACAATTTACCAGCAACAGAAGCTCACTGGCCCATAATTTCATGGTGCTTCCTTAGATCCTTTCTTTTATAAAATATCACATCAGCTAGCTTCCAATCATCAAGATTTTCCATTGTCTAAAGACTTCTAAAACACCTCAAATAGAACTTGCACCAATTAATTACTTTGACCTTTAATATTTTGGATAAATCTCACCATGACCAGAATCTTTATTACCTGCAAGATTTACCAAGACATTATTTTGTTTAATAATATCATATATGATTTCTTTTCCCAATTTAAGTGTAATAAACAGCTTTAACAGCCATCTCATAATCATTATATTTAATAACAATACAAGCAAAAGGGTTTTCCAACATTTGAGTCAACAAAATTTCCATTTAAACTTCTTAAAGGTTCAGCATTTTCTTTGACAAAATCTTTCTTGCAAAAGCACTATTATATTTAAGTTCTACAGAACTTAATATGGATATATATATTTCAAACTTAGTTGTTCCTCACCTTCTACTTAACAACTGAGCAGAGTGGCTAAGACATGACAGACCGTACACAGTAAGTCAACTGCATCCAAAACTCAAATGTCGGGAACCAACATCCATGCGGGGGGTAGGAAAGAGGATCATACTGTCTTCACCTCAAGTTCAGTTGACTGGAGGGAGAAATCCCATCACCGATCTGTAAATCAATCAGACTGGAAACACCTCAAATGCAGTAACATCCTTGGCATAAAAACACTGAGGGAAGCAGAGCCACTGAAAATTTGAGGATCAAGAGGCATCTCCTTGGGAAAGAGTGTTGGTACTGGAAAGGCAATCTGCAATGAGGACGAAAGCACCTGGATCACAACATGCCAAGAGACGTATGTCAAGAGTGTGGGTTCATAAAGAGAGATCCATTGTCTACCAGAAAGGGAACAAGAACGAGTGCCCCTTGGCAAGTGATGTAAGCCACTACCATCAAATAGTCAGAATGAAACATGATTAGTCAATTTCGAACAAGAGGAAAAATGTGAACTAAAGCATGTTGGACTGCCAGAAGTGCCAGGGTGTTAACATGGTAAGACCCATCATCAGTAGACCATTGTCCTAAAGCCTCCTGCTGATTGACACATGCCCCCAACTATGGAGATGAGTATCAGGAAAGTATGGATGAGGGGGAAAAAAAATCGAATAAAATCGACGTGGGGGGATATGTTCAACCACCTATGCTCATAGTTGAAGAGGGAAGGAGGAAAATAAAGAGAAGAATCCAAAGGAACTCTAGCAAGAGACCATGGGCCAAGCAGTGTCTCCTAAAAGGATCAAAATGTACCAGACCCAAAGGGAGAAGTGTTTTCATAGAAGCCACATCCCTCAATGAACTAGAACCTTACTAGCAGTAAGATAGTGAACCATAATGGCATGGATGACAAAAAGCTCCATCAAATGCATTTGAGGAGGAGAATGGATGGTCTCGACAGAGGTGGATTATTAAAAAGACACTCCCCAAATAGCCCAGATTGATAGATAGGTAACAGGAAAAACTAATTCAACTCGAAAATCCAACCACCCAAGCTGCTTGTGTAAGAAGCAGGTGAGTATGTTGTGACCATTCCCATTTGGAAGAAGCTAACCAAAACCAGATGTCCAAGTAGTGGTGTTAGTAAAAAACCCCAAAATGCAGAACACCTGACAAAAGACATAGGGAATCAAAAGAACTCTGATGGGCAAGACATTAAACTGGTACTGAATCACATGGTGAAAAAACCTAACATAGCATCCCGAAAAATTAAAAATAAGAACATGTGCTATAGGCATTCTCAGTCCTGCATAAATTGCCTACTCAACTGTGATCAAAGACTACATATTACAATGGGGAAAAATCATGTAGTGATTGGGGTGGGACTGATCAATCCAGAACTCCAATCAGCATCAAGCATACATGATGAATGAAGAAACCTGTAGGTAGGACAAGTAAAGGACAGGAAAGTGTTGGACATGGAACATGAATAAAGATGGCAATGACTCAGAATGCAATGAAAGAGTAAGCAAAAAATAGAATATAGCATTGCTGATACCCCATGTGATGTCAAATGCACAGGAGTAGCCCCAAAAAATGGACTGGTGGAGAAAAAGAGCAAACCACAAGTCCCTATTAGAAGTGGATGGTAAACAAACAGTACAAGACAGTGTCTCACCCCAGAATATCCCAAAAGCAAAGAAACCACACGTGGAGGGAAAGAACTGAGATGGCAAATGCCCAAAATGGAGGGAAGGAGGAAGAGGTATCCCACAAAAATCCCCTAGATATAGGTGACATTTCCTGTAGGAGAGTTGATAGGGTAAGATGAAGCTGGAAAACTAGGTTGGGGATAAAATGGATAGGATTAACAGATACTGCCTCCCATACAGGCAACAGTACATAGAATCAAGAAGAAAATCTGCCTGATGGTAAGCTAACACAAATTAAACCAAAGCCTGTGGAAGACAAAGCATGCAAGTACCCCCCCTCCCAAAAGAGAGACAAAAATGCTCATCATAAAACAATGTCTGGAGAAGGAAGGAAAAATTATACTGTGAAATGTGTCTAAAAAAGGCTGAGGTAGGCCTAATAGATTCAGCAGTAGAGACCTGGGAAGGTAAGCCATAATCAGGTGGAGAAAAATTGAAAATCTAGGTCATTCTAAACAGGTTTGTCAGTTGCAGGAGGAATGCGAGCCATATCGGGAGAAGGTAGGGCCGAACCCGGACCTTAAAGAATTAAGAATATGAAATAGTCAATATAATGTAAATTTAAGTAAGTGATTAGTGAAATAAACATATGTATAAGGTGTTATGTGTTGAAGAAAATAAGATATTTAAACTAAATATCAATTTACCCATAAGATGAACTGCAGGCAAACTGAAAATAACCCACTTGTTAAGCCTAATCAAACTAATGCAGGACAAAGTATATCACTAAGCTCTAATTTAAAAACTCTAACCTCATAATAATACATATAATATCAGGAAAAGTTTGTGCAGACCCTGGCTTTGGAAGTCCACACAAACAAAGTTAATATGAAAAAGTACAAAAGACAAATAATAACAAATGAAATAGAGGTTATATTGTATAGTGACAATAACATATGTATAAGATGTGAGGTTTTGAAGAAAAAACAGTATAATTAACCTAATTTATGATATACCAGTAAGATGAATTACAGGTAATCCTAAAATAACAAATACCCATGTAAAGCTTAATCTAATGTTGTAAGACAAATGATACAACTAAGCTTTAATTTCAAACCTTTATGTACAGTAATAAAGAAAACTATATTTATGTATTCAAATTGCGATGACGAGGAACCCACTTTGAGACTAATAATGGATGGAGACGGCTTGAATGGGTAATGAAGAAAAACGGGTACCTGATGATGACAAAACCTTGTCGAAACGTTGTACATTTGCTGTTATGTTAAACTTATATTAAAGTTTTTCTTCATTACCCATTCAAGCCGTCTCCAGCCATTATATTTATGTATACCTTTATTTACATATCTATTTGTTCAATCATTCATTTATTTCTACATTTTTCATTTGACTTTATACATTCAATGCTAAAGAAGGCAGCTGTATCAATGAAACCTATAGTGCAGTATCATTTCCATCAATGGTTAATCCACCAAGGATATGCAATCAACTGGTACTGAATAAATATGAGTTTAATAATAGTGGCATTTATGAAATTGTTTTTTAACATGCCGTTGGTATGATTTAGGCAGATATATATATGTAACAGTTTATGCATTATGTAATACGCACCAGAAAGTTTATTGTATGGCTTTGTTTCTACAAATTCAATGACATAAAAAATAATCATAAATGGTTTTAAAGTTTTGTCTCTGTGTTTTCAAATAGAAAATGCTTCTTAATCCAATGAAATTGCCAAGACCAA